TGCTGGTTTCAATTAAATTCTCTGTTCCTCACTGTATTAATCTATTAACCTTAATTTTGTGATTTCCATTCAAAATATGTTAATTTACTCTTCGCTTGTGACATCACGATCTGTTTGAGGATAAATTAAATATGACAAATATGATTCTGCCTTTTCTGTAGCATTTTAATGAGAAGGAAGAAATAGTTCTAAAATGTAATGATTCATTTTCATAATACTAAAATTCATTCAGTATTCAAACGTCCTAAGTAATTATAAGTAAACTTGAGTTTACTTCTGTTAAAATGTATTTTTGTGTATTTGGGATGCAGTTATGCCCAAGAAAAAGTAGTTTGTGGATGGAATGGGTTATTTTGTGAAGGAAATATTTTAAAATGAAATGTTTTTCATTGCTTTTTTTTTCAATGATTTTGACAAATATGACAGTTTTGTCAAGAATAATCATCTTTGTTGCGTTCTCTTTACCACACATGACAATACCTGTTACATTTTTCTGATTATATGGTAACATCTCTCATATATCAATTTAATAGTATAGTGTTTCTTGCTGTATTTCTAGTTTCTCAAAAGTATACACTTTAAAAAATGTTAATATTTACACTTTAACAATGGTGAATGTTTCCACAGCATTATATCCACCTCCTAATCTTCTTAAGTTAAAAGGTAATCATGAGTGTAGTTATATAGTGTTGTAAAAAGTCAGCTTTGCTTCCATAAAACTTGCTGTAGGAGGACTGAGAACAAGCTGGGTAAAGAACTATCATAAGGCAATGGCAGAGTGTATTGGTGTACTTTAGTAGACTTTTGGATCATCTAGGATATCCTGTGAGTGTTGTGCAGAATATTCACATGTTTTTAGTGGTTTTGCATTATGTTCCAAAACTTCTTTATTATGCAGCACAAACCACTGATCACTACTCATTGTGAGAAAGCGTTGGGTTAAATTCTGGACTTCAAAACGCTAAGGAGCGTTGGTAATTTCACATTTGGCACTTCCAGATATTTTAAAGAACATTATCACCATGATGTTCTTTTTCCCAAAAGGAAATAACTATCACACAGAATAGTAGCTGTGCATGAAACCTCTATATCCTTACAAAAAGCCCAGTGTAAGAAACTCCAACTTCCCCTGACTATTCCACCCATACTCTTAAACTCTGACCTAAAAGACAGACCTTAGAGAGTCTGTCCTTAGACAGTCTGACCCTAGAGAGTTTCTTCTAACACTTCTGTTTAGACTCTGAGCAAGGAAAAAAAATTGCTGTCAAGTCTTCTTTTGCTTTACTGGGACTATCCTCTAGGAACAGGACTGAAAACACCAGATCATATCACATCATCTGCTGGATGGATAGTCCAGTACACATTAGTCAAATCTGAACCAGCGCTGAGCTGTTGACGGGTGAATAGCTTTTTATAGGTTTATCAAACCTCTGCCCTCCTATATCTGTCCTGATTTAGTAATTTGCGTTTAATTATCACTTTTCAGTGTTTAGAAAAACTTAGATGCCATTTGGAGATAACAATCAGCCAGTTTTTATAGTAACAGATAAAAGTAACAGGTATGAGAACTCAAGCTGGATTAGAAAAATTTACTCATATATATAAATTTCTCATAACAACTCAACTAATTAATTACATTTTGGTTTAGGTATTCACTGGGATATTTACAGCAGAAATGGTACTAAAGATAATTGCCATGGACCCTTATTATTATTTCCAAGAAGGCTGGAATATTTTTGACGGTATTATCGTTAGCCTTAGTTTAATGGAGCTTGGTCTTGCAAATGTTGAAGGATTATCTGTTCTTCGGTCATTCAGATTGGTAAATACCTTGATAATTAAATATTTGCATGCAATTGTCTCAGTCAAAAAAAATGTGCTGATGTCTGTAATAATTACCAGTACTGTAAAGATATATTATATACTTAAATGGCTCACACATATTTTTCATACATGCCTAATTTGCAAGCCATATTTGATAACTACAAGTTTAACGTGTTTGTCCATTGATAACCTTTGAGATCTTTTGGTATCAAATTATCCTACTGATATCCTATCCTACTGATATCCTTTGCCAGCATAAGACTAACTGCTACCTTTTGAGAATTTTGTAAATCTTCGTTATACTGATTTCATTAAGATTCATCAAAGCTGAATATCTGTAAAAACATACATATTGCCACCAGCATAAAGAATCATAACATTTTTAGTCTTTATATTGTGAACATTATTTTGTGTTACTCATAAAGCCCCTAAGTAGATTCTCTCTTCACAACATTTATTTTAATGGGCACCAAGGATAAAGATTTAGTAACTCCATTACATATAACAGAGAGTCATAACAATCTGACTTTAGGATAACACTTACTTGAAATATTATTGGGCTTCTACTAGAAATGTCCTTTTTATAGCAATTAGTATTGTACACAAACCTAATTTATAGGTATGCTTACTGGAGGCACAAGATTCATGATTTAAAAGTCTGTATTACTAATAGTTATCACATTACTTGAAAACCTAGGTTATTTCCTAATATATAGAGCAGGAATTAGTGACTTAGTTTATCAGCACCAGTTGCAATGGTACCCACCTTCACATACCATAGTTTGGTTACCGAATATTATTTTTAAGTTAGTGTTTATGATTTGAATGGACATCACAATATCAGCATCAAATTGTTGCTTCAAAAATTGTCCTCTAACTAAGCCTGGAAGACCTAATGTGGTGCTGAAGGAAATGTGGAACCAAGCCAGCAAAGAGGGTATAATAAAGGTGATGAAAAGAGTACAAACTTCTAAAATGTCTTTAAGAATTGTTTAGTAATCATCTGTAAGTGGATGTTTAAAAATATTAAAATCAAATGTGGTTCAAACACAAATTATGGTTTTTTTTCTATGTGCATCACTAAGATGAAATGCTGAACACTGCAGTTTAGGCAAATACTCCATGCTCCCTGCTTTCCATTAAAATAATAATATGTTCCTACTGAAGAACAAATTAATCTACAGAAACTGATATGCTCTGCTAAACAACTTGGACCTAGCTTCTATTTCAGAACTAATGCTAATTATTCCTCTGTGTTTTTATCTTTCAGCTTCGAGTTTTTAAGTTAGCAAAATCTTGGCCAACTCTAAATATGCTGATTAAGATTATTGGCAACTCAGTCGGGGCTTTGGGTAATCTGACCCTGGTGCTGGCCATCATTGTGTTCATTTTCGCTGTGGTTGGGATGCAGCTGTTTGGGAAAAGCTACAAGGAATGTGTCTGCAAGATCTCCAGTGACTGTGTGCTTCCACGCTGGCACATGCATGACTTTTTCCACTCTTTCTTGATCGTATTTCGAGTGTTGTTCCTGATTGTGTTTCGAGTGCTGTGTGGAGAATGGATAGAAACGATGTGGGACTGCATGGAGGTTGCAGGCCAAACCATGTGCCTTATTGTTTTCATGCTGGTCATGGTGATTGGAAACCTAGTGGTACGTGATGAACATTTTTGGACCTTAACTCTGATGCAAAATGTACATAACTTACAGCTAGGCAATGAGAATGTTTGTCATCCTTCTGTTTAGAATTAAAAAATAAATCTGAATGCGCTAGATTTTGGGTAAAAATATGACGATTCCCTTCTCCCCCTTTTCACTCATTTCCATACACTGAAGTACTCTCACTATGGGTCCAGGAATTTAGGAATACACCCAAATGTCAAATCGAACACCCTATCATGGGAGTGCTGTGGCTAATTTAGAGGTGCTGTTTAAATCCAAATGTCTTCCTAACCACTCTGAAATAATAAAGCTTGTGCTGCACCAGCTCCTGGGCAGCAGCTTCTTCGGAGAAAAAAAATCTAATGGACTTTCTTACACCCATTACAGCTAATTCCAGCACTAATACTTCTCACTTAATAAAAATAAGGTATAATGTAGCTGTTCTTATATAGAATATCTTGAATTTAAGTACTGACCTTTTTGGCCTGTTTAGGTGTAAAAAACAAAAATGAAATACAGAGTGATTGGACATCCATCCTAAAAATGTGTTTGAAACCTTCTAACTCAAAATTATAGAAGAAAGCTTTACAGAAAAATTTTAATTCAAGCTGACAAGTTAAAATGCCAAAGGTTCAATTGATAAATATTGAATTGGTGAGAACTTCTTAGAAACCAGGATTATAATTGGAATGCACCATTTACACTTTTACTTTATTTTTAAGTTTCTTTTACTGTTAATCTTTGCCGTTCATTCTGACACGCCTAAAAACTGTATTTCATTACCTGTCAATATTCTCTTCCTTTAGTGATATATTCTAACATGATTTAAATTTTTATAAAATAGAATTCAAAATGTTCGTATCCTTCTTGTTTACATGACCTTGCAATCTTGACATTATATCAGCAGAAATGTGGAGAGCCCCAGAAAGCTATTTATGATCAGTAACCTCCTCTACTATTTTTTTAGCATTAGCTTCAGTGTAGAAATACTGTTTCAGATTCCTATTGTCTTCTTTCTTCCAAGTGTCTTTTTACCTTCAGGGTTCTTTTCTGGAATTGTGAAAATCTGCAGAATTAAATCTCATAGAGGGTACAAATGAGAGACCTAACACATTTAGGGGAAGTTTATTTATGCCATTTTGCCATGTCATGACAACTTTTGATGCCTGGTGGTATATCAGACTGAAAGTATGAAACGATTAATTGCTTGCAAGCTGTAGTGAAATAGCTACAGTTTATAGGAGATTATATTAAAACAACAACAATGATGTTTGAATTCTGAGGCAAAAAACCACAGTTCTCAGGAAATACTGCTGCTAAGATTGTTACCTGCTGATGGAAGAAGTCCATTTTATTTTAAATTCCTACATAAAAGCAAACAAAATTTTCATTTTTTAACAAGTGAGAAAGGAAAAAAATCCAATTACAAATAATATAGTATTATTATAAATAATAGAGATTAAAGTGTAAAATTCATTTTTAAATATTCCTTTTATCCTTTTATGACAAGCTTTATAGAATTTAAGAGACAAGCCCAGAATTTACAGAAAATCACAGTCTCATGGTATAATCTTCCAAACAGTAGTTAGAAAGTATAAGTAGGTTATTATAGCATTAACTGATATAAGTTTCTAAAACATCTGCATCATAGAAACCCATCTAATTTTTACAAATCATGTTTATTTAATTCTACTTAAATTCCAAGTGATTTTAAGAGATTTAGACAGAAGATGATGAATGTGTATAGCTAGAATTTTTGTAACTTTTTTTTTATTTTAGAGTCTAAGCAACCATGCTGCTTTAAACAAAGATTAAAAGTTTAGAACATTTAGGTATTAGGTTGTCTGTTTTCATCTTCTGAGTGAATACTGACCAAAACAAGTAAGGAGATCTTTTGGAATTTAGGGTGCTATATGGTTGTCTAGAATTAGTGAATGTTGTTTTTCAAAACAATGTGTGCTATTTGACAGTATGCTGTAAAAATACTCACTTCTTATATATATGTATTATAGTATACAGCTGTATTCTCTCATCTTTTAGGTATTGAACCTATTTCTGGCCTTGCTGCTGAGCTCATTTAGTTCAGACAACCTTGCTGCTACCGATGATGATAATGAAATGAACAATCTCCAGATTGCTGTGGCAAGGATTCAGAAGGGAATAGATTACGTTAAAAAAAAGATACAGGAGTTCATCCAAAAAGCCTTCGTTAGAAAGCAGAAAGCTTTAGAGGAAATCAAAGCACTTGAAGAGCTAAACAAGAAGAAAGACAGTTGCATTTCCAATCATACTGCTGTTGAAATAAGCAAAGATCTGAATTATCTTAAAGACGGGAATGGAACCACAAGTGGTGTAGGCACAGGCAGCAGTGTGGAAAAATACATAATCGATGAAAACGATTACATGTCATTCATAAACAACCCAGGCCTCACTGTTACAGTGCCAATTGCAGTTGGAGAATCAGATTTTGAAAATTTAAATACAGAAGAATTTAGCAGCGAATCTGATATGGAAGAAAGCAAACAGGTAGGATTTTTTGTATCTTAACAATTAAATTGTAGTCATGCATTTACATATTTCTTAATTACATATTTAGAATTATTTAAAAACTGTCTTATCCCATGTAAATATATTTTATATTTTATTATTTTATGTAATTATTATTCAAGAAAAATATTACCCTATGTGATGGTATACTAGGGGGTCCTTAGAATTTACATTTTTAATACTCTGTTTATCAACATTTGGAAGACGTATCATTTTAAATATAATTATTTCTTTCACAATTTTATGAGGCTTTAGGACTAGCACACATTTCATAAAGCATTCTTTCTGTAGTACCTATAATGCGACCAGGATTTATGGAATAAGAGTATTGCAGAAGGCTAAGGAACAATCAAGAGTATTCAGCTTTGCATACCCAATCAAATATAAGTGGAGAAAAAATATTTTTTTCTATATTTAGGGTAGTTCTAAAAATGAACCCTGAGACATCATAAATCAGTGATGTATTCTGGATTATCTAAAACATTTTGTGAGTAGTATTTATACAGATTTTGGGTTCAGAGACTATGGCTGGCTGAATTGAAGTAATCCAGATACCAATAAACGTAATGGTAAAGCAGTATCTCAAGTTATCCTGGAAAGCAGAATAATCTTGTAATATAGATGCATGTGGAAACGGTTTACTTGAAAGCCTTATGCTATTGTTATTGTGCAAAGAGTCAGAAGTTGGTCTAAAAACCAGAAGCCTCAAAATATAAGTGGCTCAAATACCAGAAGTGAACATGAACAGGTGATAACGGTATTCAAGGAAAACTTTGTATCTTGGAGTAACGATCAATGGCAAGATAATAAATGCATTAGCAGAATATAATTATATTCAATGCCATTAGAAATGTAGGAACTGTGAGGTTTAAGGGATCAGGAACCATGAATAAATATCTTTTCAATTAGAAAGCTGTGATGTTTGTGTGATAACTCATTAATACAAAAAAGTTTGTTTACCATAAAGAAAGCTCTTCCATAAAGAAACCCTGCATTCATGACTGTATCATAGCTGTATAGCTGCCATATTTGCAAATAATGCTGTATTCCTCAGCAATACCAAACTATACCACATAACATTAATGGATAGCCATGATCCAGTTAATCATAGTATGTTTTTTTTGCTAAAGAACATAACGGAACATAAAGAATGTGTGTTTATTTGCAACTGCAAAGAAAGTTACTCTGCATAACAACTGTAAGATTGAGAGCAAGATATTCTATCATCTGAGTTGCTCAGTTATGAGACAAACATTTTAAATGTAGATGTACAAGATAGTAGAGCAGTACTGCTTATCCATCACAATTTAAGAATATAAGAGATACAGGAAATGTAAAGTGATATAATTTATGAGATCAACTAGTATCAAAAAAAAAGCTTTCAGAGTGACTCTGGGTCTGAGACATAAGCACTTGTCATGTAAGCTGATCTAATAAAAGTTAATTGTCTTTTCCAATGAACCTTTAGCAAAGTCTTCTAAGTCTTTTCATATATTCTGATGTTCTTTAAAATGACATTTTACTATAAATTTTCTGCTTTCCTTGTGGTTAGTTTTGATAAATACAGTGATGAGTGCCTTCCTAGTAACTCCATCTTATGAAGTTACATGCCTAAAAATTTCCTGAATATGTTACTTTTTTAAAAGTTTGTAATATGCATTAGGAAGTTGGGAGGCTTATATGCTGTGCAGACGCTAAATGTGTGGTTACGTGACATGTTAGCCTCAGCAGCAGAGCTGGCTTGGGAAGTTCCCATCCACGCCTGGCTCCTGATCTCCTGGCAGTCTTTACCACTTTCTTTGCTACAGTACTTGTGGGTCTGTACTATAAGGCATGTCACCGGAGTGATGCAAGTTAAATAACATCATCCCATAGGTATTATTTGTTTATTTCTTCTTCAAGATAGATTGAACGGTTCAGTTTATGGTGTACTGCCATATATTTTAGCAGAAGCTGAGGACAAACCAAAATGCAATGCAAAGGCAGAAATTCCTCTGCTTTCCGAGTGAATATATGATGTAAGTACACCCCAAGAAAATGGAGTAAAAGCCCTTGCTGTGCTGAGAAGTTCTGAATGATACCAATTTCAAGGTGACGTTCACAAGTCAATTGCTCTGTTCATTCCCATCTGAACCATGCTTGGTTCAGGCATCATGCTTTTTTCTTTGAAGGCCATCCTGAAGTTTCAGGACCATAATAAATCAAAAGGGATTTTGTCTTTTTTTTATGGAATTTAGATGTATCTATATGTCTTCAGGAAGAGAAACCAAATCCAAAAGTCTGTATAAGCAATTTTAAAGTGAAAATTTCAGGTGACTGTAGGAAATCCGCCAGTAAATGATGGATAGTATTTATATTAAGAACTTGAGAAGAAATTTTCAATGGGGATAGGATAAGTTTAGGACTTCTGTGGAGCCTCAAGATTTCCATAGAATGTAATAATCACTACCATTGCGAAGCTAGAGCAATAATGCTTCCCTCAAGTTTTGCTCACACACAACTGTTTAGCGTTTAACTGTTTGATGTGTATTTGTACAGTGCAAGTGTGCATATTGTGAACAGTACCTAAGAAGACAGGAATTTCCTACCAGTGCCCTGAAAATTGTGAATTCTATATTAATTACAGTTTCTGTTCTGGATTCCTCATTCCATTCCTTCTGGATGATTTTTAGGGAAAGGATAAAGTGATTTTTTTTTTTTTTATTGTGTGTATAAAAATCCACCTGCTTTGGTAATATATGAACAGATGTTCTGATGTGTGACAGGAATTTGTGAAGATTCCGAATATTCTCCTACCAAGTCAACAGTTATGTTGAATCTTTTGCTGCCTTCTCATTGTCTTTTGAGGAAGATAAAGAGTATATTGGCACAGTGTTTAAGTTACCTCACTAGAACAGTACACCATCATTTGCTTTATTTTGCCTCTCAAGGAATACCGCTGAAACAAAATTCCTGCTAGGAGAAGGCCTGGTCTGCAAAAGGAGGGGTAAGAGATGGGGCAGAACTTCTCCCCCCTTAACTGTGGCAGTACTTAGCACTTAAAATACCCTCAGGAGGTATCCCCTTTAATAACCCTTTATTTAACAACAGAGCTATGAGAAGCTAGATCTGCACAGGAACTCTAAAATGAGACACCATTTTTTTTCTGGTGTATTACTGACTGTCACTGATGCGAGGAGCAGAATGATTAAAGTCTGTCAGCAATAACAGGTCATGCTAGAAGTGGGACAGGGGCTGTGTGCCCCTGAGGAATATGCCAAGAGCCACTAATTACTATAGAAATTGTAGCTGTGGGTGAGTGAGGAATTGTAATTTTTCCTATTTTTATTATCAAATACACTATAGTACAAAATAACTCTAGCCATCAAGTTTCTTTTGGAAGGCTGGTTCCTTTTTTTTTTCCCCACTTTCATAAAAACACTTTCTAATTAATTTGCTAGTTAATAACTCCCAAATCTGCCAGAATCTATTCTGGAACCTGGCTGCAAGTTCCAGACATAAACAAGATCTTTCTAATAGATATCACTAGAAATTTGGGGAAGTCTCTGTTTGGATGAAACAGAACAACAACATTTATTAGATTTAAAAGTTACCCACTGCTTTAGAGTAATAATTGGCTGAAAGTACCTGGAAGAAGGGAACATTTCATTGATACTTTGAAGGAGGATTTTTTTAATATCTACTATCAGAAAATAGAGGTGCAATACCCAATGAAATAACCATCAGAAATAACAGGTTTCTGCTCTGAAAATAAGATACTCGAGATAATTAACTTTGAAGATAATAAGAAAATTAGAAGTAACTAAAGGGGATAATTTGGTGTTTTTTAAAGTTAGCATTGTGAATGCTGTTTCTATTATAAAATATGCCTGCTAATCAGTGAAATGAATGGACTACGTTAATCTTACCAAACATAAGACTCCTAACTATTGTATTTCTGTGCACTTAACAACTGTTCATTATATCTGAATCACAACTTTATGAATAAAGTTTTGGATTTCAACACAGAAAATAATTTCAAAGATATTCAACAGTTATAGAAAGCTGATTTCACAACTAAAGAAATACATATACCTACAGGCCTCTATCATTCAGAATTCCAAAAGCCTTTCTATCTACAGTATATGTACAGTAAGTACAAATTCAGATTGGAGAAGTAAGGCAGCTCAATTAACTTCTGAAATCACAACAGATGGTTTTAATAAAATTAAAAATATCCTTCATCATCTAATCCACTGAAATTTCAAAACAAGGAATAAGTTCAGTTTTCTGATTGGCTTCACTAGTGCCTTTGTGACTAGGTGAAGTAAAAAGACAGGAACACAGTTATTGCATTCCCGGAAGTTAAGCATTGCCATTGGGCTTCAGTAAATTTCTTACATACCCAGTAGTAATTCGATCAATTTGTTGGATGATTTTTATCACATTTCTTTTAAAATATCCAACAATCTAAATTCCCCTTTTCTAAAACTGACCAGTTCTGGGACAGTATCTTCAAAAGTGATAGAGTTTTTAAATTATGGACTAGCTGTGGATAACTAATGAATGAAACCGTATCTCTGGATAAACTGATGGGCCACTGTCCAGACCGTGATCCAATCCTCTTTTGAATAGAGTCAGAAGTATATAGCATACTAAATCTAAACTAGAAACTTACACAATATGATACTTCATCACATGTAATTTGAACAGAAATTAAGGTTTATTTTCATTGAGATCTAGAAGTTCTACCACCATTATTAGAGGATGAAGGAGGAATGGGAAGACATACATCTTCAAAGTATTTTGCTTACTGTATGCATAATTTTGCAAATAAAAGAGATATAATCACATATTCAGTTAAATGAAGACTAGAACATTAAACCAAAAAAACCCTTAAAATTTTCATTAATATGCATTGTAAAATACTGGAATACCTTCCAAATCTGCTAATCATGTCTTTATTAATTTAATTAATTGTATTTTTATTTATGAATCAC